CACACTGGATTCCAAAGACTTAGCATGAGAAAAAGAATGTTAAGTATCGCATTAATAAATGTCTACATTGATTATTTGTTTCAGTGATGATATTTTGAAAATCTTGGGTTAAATAAAATATATTACTAAAATTAATTTCACCTGTTTCTTTACACCTTTTTAACATGACTACTAGGAAAATTTAAATTACACATGTGGCTTGCATAATATTCCTGTTGCAGGGCACTGGCACAGATACTCCCTCCCAGGGACATGGATTGTCTGTGTCACGCCTGTGGCCCCAGCACCTGGAACAGGGACCTGCACACAGAGGCCTCAGTGATGGTGTGTGTGTGTGAAGTGGAGGAGACAGTGAATTCATGATGAATGAGAGAACGGATGAATGAGGATTCTATATGCTGTTCCAGGACGTGGTCAGTTTCTTCTAAATTGCTGAGGACTAAGTGTGAGTACACACATGACTGAAAGGGAAACAGAGAGTTGGAATTGAGGCAGGCTCACCAAGGCTTTGAAGGCGGGAGTCTCAAAGAGCATTTGATGGGACCTCACCTAATATAAGGGCCCAAGAGCCCGGACCCTTGCCTCACCCCTCTTTCTTTCCTTCTAAAAAAGTACTCCTGTAGCACTTTAATATTTGCCAGGGGCTCTCCTCAGCATTTTGCATGTACTGACTCATTTAAACTTCCCATCACTCTATGAGGTAGGCACTCTTATTGTCCCTCTTTTACAGATAAGGAAACTAAGGCACAGAGATGGTGAGTAACTCGCCCAGGATGACCCAGGAAGTGATGGAACTGGTATTTGAACCAGGCCATCTGTCCCCAGTGTCCACACCCCCAACTACTACACCTCCCGTCTCTCTTATCCTGTCATCTCGCCTCATCCCCAAGCTTCTCTCCAATAGAGAAATAGGTTTCTTTTTTCTCCCTTGACTGACCTCTCTTCCACCTCCAGTCCCTCAGACCTCATATTCCGGGAGAAAGTTCTCAATGAACCTTGCTCTCTGGAAACAATTGTGAGTAACCCCCCAAGTTCCCCAGAAATGAGTCACAAACACACACAGCTGCATGGTCGAATACAACAGCCAAGTAACTCTGCCTCCCCCATTCCCTCTGCCCCCACCCCTGAGCCTGGCCCACACCACCTTCTCCCTTCCCAGCCCAGGAGGCTCCTCTCCCAGACCTGGGATTGCCCCTCCCCGCCTTCCTGGGCAGACTCGAGGGAAGTGTGTGTTGGAGGATCCTGAGGCTTCACAGATCTAAGCAACTGCTTTACGTATCAGTCTAGCAGATGCCTGCAAGGTGACTACAGGGGACAGAACAGGGGGTTTCCAGACACGACCTTGGCCAGTGCCTGGGAGATGCCTCAGTCCCACCCACCAGGGACTCCATTCCAACCTCAGTTTGGATCCCTCTAGTGACAGAGTAGTCCTGAGTTTCCACCCACTGGGAGCAGCCCTAGCCCACAATCTCCCCTTCAGGGCTAAACACAGACTGAAGCACTAAGAAAGAACCCACAGGCCATCTTCTTATCTTTCTCTCTCTCATTAAATTGTGAAAAATAACGCACTCAATTATTCTCCCACTTAAAAACTGTTTTAATTTCTTTGAAGAACCTTGCAAGGTAGCTTGGCTAAACAGCAGGCGGAACAGTCCAGTGCTTCTGGTGGCGGGGGCAGGGTCTTCCACCGGCTTGTCTTTTTGTCCAGCAGGTAGGCGTTTGGATTGATGGTGTAGTCCCTTTTCTGAACATCGCTGGCTGTGGTGACACCCCCAAATACAAACACCCTGCCATCTCCGATGGAGCATATAGCATGGGACTCATCCAGGGGGCAGCTGTTGGGCAAGAGAGGCACTGACGTGGTCATCTTCTTGGCTTTGATCTTCTGCAAGTTGATAACCACCCTGTGTCGGTGGCTGTGCATGCAGAGGATGTTGTCCTGATTGAAAGAGAGCAGGGGCTGATGGTTGAACTCAGTGGGGAGGGTGATACTCTGGACCACCTCCCCAGTGTTGGTGTCAAAGCAGTCCACTACCCTGACCCAGGAGATGTAGCCCTTCACCAAGTACCGACCAGTGATGATGTTAAGGTTCCGGTCACCCTTGGTGATCATGGCTGTGGCATACATAGGGATGCTCATCTTCCCTGCCAGGCACCAGGCCTCTTTGCACTCATCATAACGACAGATGTCAGAGACATACTGTCTTGGGGCAATGCTCCCACCCACTGAGTACACTATCCCCCCACAAGTCACCACGGTGTGGAAGACAAGTCCAACTGGCAGGTCAGGCAACTTGGCCCACGAGTTGTCATCCATGTCATACCGCCAAGCTGTCTTCAGCCCTATAATCTGCTTATTGGTGGCACCAGAGACATAGATGTATCAACCAGCAAAGGTGGCACTAAGTGCTGCTGCCTGATAGGGCATCTCTGAGAGCTTCAACCACAGGTTCTCCTGGATGATATAGGCAAACACTCCATCACTGAACTTGCCCTGGGCCTTCTGGCCACCTAGGATGACCACCAAGTCAAGCAGGGCTCCTTTCCGCTGGTGGCTCAGCAGGCTGGATGGCCTCCTCTGCTTTCGTTCATCAAGCACACTCTCAATCAGGGTTGTATGGGCTGAGCTGTTCTCCACGTTCCTCAACTTGTTGCTCACAAACATCAATATCTTATTGGAGACGGCATTAAGATTGATGTAATAAAAGAACTTCTTGAAACACTTCCCCCACTCATCCTTTCAGAAATACACTCAATTTAGGAGTGCACTGAGAGCCTGGTCCTCGTTGAGCAAATGCAAGCTTTCATCTTGAAGCAGGCGGCCAAAGATGACAGGTGGACAGCACAGGAAGCCCTCAGGCATGGAGCCCTCAGGACTGGCCCAGTAGTGGAAGTTGTCGCGAATGCCAGAGTAGGCCAAGTCTGATACCTCTTTGAGCCCAAACATCTCAGCCAAGATGAGGTAGCACAAGCAGTTGGCATGGCGAATGGACTTAATCAGGGCGTTACTGCAGTGGATTTGAACGTGTGGTGTGTTGAAATACTGGGCCCCACAAAGGAGCTCCTCCACGTTCTGCTCCGAGATCACCACCTTGCCGCTGGAGAAGCAGTCCAGGAGCTGGTCCACGGTGGCTGGACTCATGTAGTTGGGGTCAAGGGTGATAAACAGCTCATTGTGGTCTTCACATCATCTCTGGAGATGAGGCTCTTCACGGCTGGAGAGACAGCAGCCAGCACACTGCGATGTGCAAAGAAGACATGGTGGTCCACAGTCAGGGCCATGTCCCACTACTCTTTGCATGTCCTCTGTTCATTCAGTTTCTGCAGCAGGAAGTTGTCATAGTTTTTCTTGATGAATATCAATTTCATGGTGCTTCTTGCTGGCTGAGGCAGAAGATCAGCAGTAGGTACTAGAGAAAAGACTTTCTCAGGGATTCAGACTGATGGTTGTTTGCAGAGCAGTTGATTGGGGAGGAGTGAAGGGTGGGAGAGAGGATGATGTCACAGAGGCAATGAGGTCATCACAATGCAGGTTCCCCTGAGGGCTTTCTCAGAGGCTCAGGGCCTTTCTCCCTTCTGATGGCTCCAACCTGACAAGGCCAGGTACCCTATCAGGACCTAGTGCCCAGGGCCCAAAGCTCAGGAGGAAACTCAGAGATGGGTTGTGACCTCCACCCAGGAACTTCAAAGCTCAGTTCAAGGCTGCTTCCGGAATGTCACAGCCTGTTGGACAGGGGGTGGTGTAAGGAGGGATAAGGGCAGGCTGGGGGAAGGAAAGAGATTATTAGATCATCCAGAAGAATCCTCCCATTGTACTGGAGGGAAACTGAGGCCCAGACAAGAGAAGGGACTTGCCCAAGATCACACAGCCAGTTAGAAGTAGAGCAGGACCTGGAACCCAAGCCTTCTGTAACTTAGTACTCTGTCTACCCTTCCAGGAAGCTCCTCACTACTCAGCTTTCCCCAGCCTCTGATTCTCAGTCCTGGAAGTGCCTTTCTCTGCCAAGGTTCTGGCCATCAGAGAAGAAAGGCTCTGTCCTTTGGCTTCTGACCTTTGTGGCCACAGACACCACTCTTCTTTAACATAGAGGGAGAGGTGGAGGCCACTCTCTGGAGCAGGGATGCTAGGGTTAGCATCCAGTGAGTGGGGATGGGAGGGCCTCTAAAGTCCTGATCATTTCAATTCCACGGCAAACTGGGACATCCTCTGCACATTTCCAAGTCTCTAGCTGTAAGAAGCTGGGGGCTGTGGGGATCAGCTCTCTCCATCAACTGTGGACTTGGACAGGTTGCTCAGACTCTCTACACCTCAGTTTCCTCATGTGCGAGATGGGAATAACAGTACCTGCTTCAAAGGTTGTTAAGAGTTTAGATGAGAAAATGACTAGAGAGTGTTAGCACAGTTTGGCTCGTAGCAAATGTTCAATAAACGCTAGGTGCCATGTTGTTGTTCATGCCGTCGAATGGATTCGGATTCCTAGCGACCGTGTGTACAGCGGAGTGGAACCCTGCCCAGTCTTTTTTGCATGGTCCTCTCACCTTCCAGTGCTATATCAGACAATGCTCCGCTGCTATTCACAGGGTTTTCATGGCCAATTTATTCGGAATTGGGTAGTCAGGTCCTTCTTCCTAATCTGTCTTAGTCTGGACGTTCTGCTGAAACCTGTGCACCATGGTGACCCTGCTGGTATTTGAAATCTTGATGGCTTTCAGCATCACAGCAACATGCAGCTGCCACAGCATGACAACCGACAGATGGGTGGTGTGGTTCCCTGAGTGGGAAAAGAACCCAGGCTGATGGTGAAAGTGCTGAATCTTAACCACTAGACCCCCAGGGCTGGCTGCGTCCTATAAAGTATAGTTTGAAAAATACTGCCCTGAGTGTCTGAGTTGTAGACTTTACTCTCTGGTGAGAATCCATCCAATGTTCTTACTACAAAGGTAAGAAAACTAATCTCATATTAAAAGCAAAAAACAAATAAACATAGTTCAAGACTCACTTTTTCTTTTTCCTCCAACAATACAAGACTTCTGAAGGTCTATACAGTGCATATCCATGCAGTTTTCTAAGAGTCCACTTTGTCCACATGAGCAAATTTTATAACAACCAACTTCCCCTGCAGATGATGGCACCTGAATTAGTGTCCCTTGACGGACGATAAAATCAGAGGCTTCTCCCAATTTGCAACCTGTAAAACAAAAATTACCTAAGAGAGATTATATTGTTTTATGACATTAGATATCCCTCACAGAAGGTCTTACAGGTTCTGTGTGGCTACTAAAGATTATGGAACAGAATTTCACCTAACTAAGGAGTTGCTTTGGTCACTGGTCAAAAGCATACCCTCTCAAATGAAAATTCCATGCTCTATGAGATGCTGGTGATTATGGACCTATACTCCAAAGTTAGCTCTAGTTCAGTATAAAAATGCTATAAGATACGTAGTTTTTTATTTCTTTGGGATTATCGAAGATATTTAAAAATCACAGATATTTTTAAAATGGTGTTTTGAAACTGACTGTATTTTTAGAATAATCTTGGTCAGTAAAATTTTTAGTGATAGGATATAAACATACCTTAAATTCAAAGACAAGTTGAATACTTAATTGGGCTTAAGCAAAACCCATTCATTTCTGATTTTAACAAGATTTTTTATGACTCTATAGCTGATATGTTACAGTATTACACAAATATTATAGATGATCCTTTGAGACATCATGCTTATTTAATTTAATATTTTGTTCCTTTTTACTTCACACATATTTAAAATGTTGATTCTAACATGATAAACAAACATTTTCAATTGGGAAATAGATAAAAGGAAGCAAAATGTTGCCATGACTATATTCTATAGGGATCCACAAAGAGACCAAGACTATCAAAATTCTATGGGATAAAAACTTTTCAGCCTTAAAATCATATGCATTTCGGCACAACACTAATCTCTATGGAGATAATTACACATCCCACTGAGTATGCCATTTCTCCATATACTAAAGGAAAGAAAAGAAAAAACATCAACAATATGCAGTACGTTTTCTCAAACATTACACCCCGGAAGACAAAGTACAAAAAGCTGGCCCAAGGTTTTCTTTTCTTTTGTTGTCAAGAGCCCTGCAACTCATTATGAGATTCTGGGTTTGGATTGATATTAGTTTATAATCTAAATGACTATTGAAAATTACATCTGCCTTTGTCTTTCTCTGCTTATATAAATAATACATGTTTACGGGAAAACCTCAAACATTACAGAAAAACATAATTTAGAAAATAAATTCCCTTGCAATCTCATTCCAAAGATAACCCCTGTAAAGAAACACGAGCAGCACGTATCCACACTCATCCCACAGCCACACCCATCCCCCTCTTACCTTGAACACAAGAGTATGGCAGGCAGGGATCTCCAGATGGACACCCTCTCCGGTTTACCTCACAGAGCTCACTAGTGGGGCAAGGACTTGGGTTACAGGGATGAGTCACTTCTTCCACAATGTTACCTAAAGTACTTGGCCCTGCAAAACCAAAACCAAATCAGTTTAACCAACCCAAAAGAGTAACAGAGGCCTGTAAGTGATCTGAATTAATCATGTCTGGAATAAATGGAGAGCTTATGAGCATAAAGCGAGGCTTGATTCTAGTGAGCCATTAAAACACTCAGATTCTCTGATCACTTGCGAATTTAGCATAAACATACAGACATTCATTCACTTGTTTATTTACTGGGTACCTACAATATACTGGGCAAGGTTCCAGGTACTGGAGATACAGTAATGAACAAAACAGACAAATCTCTAACACAGAGTTTACATTCTTGTCAGGAAATGGACAATAAATAGTGTGTGTGTAAATAAAAGTCAGACAATGAAAAGTAGTAAGTAGTATAAAGGGATAGAAAGTGACAGGTATATTTTGGATAGGGTGATCAAAGAGGTGCTTATGTCTAAGAGGGATAATTTAGCACATTTTACCATAAGTGATCATAACTTATTATAGTAAGAAGGATCCTGTCCCATGATTATATTTGTTAACTTGTGAAATAATGACCAAGGAAGAGTCTCACTTAATATAAAGCATATGTGATATTTAAACAGAGTATTGAAATTCAAACAAAAGCATTTCTTTAATTTTTCTCCCATTGAAATAATTTCCTTCTACATATATATTTGACAGCTCTGATAGAGTCTAGGATTGTGAATATATTAGTTTTGCTTACTTGATTTTAGGCCAGACTCAGACTTAAGGCTAATAGAAGTAGGAGGGTTCTTGGAGTTCATCTCAACCAGCCCAGTCATTTTACAAATAGAGAACCTCAGGCTCAAAGAAGTGATCTGCTCAGAGTCACAGAGCTCTATATTCTAGTCTCACGCTCTCTTTTTCTCTATGCTGGTCACAAAGGCTAAGGGACATAGTCTGTTGGTCTTGATACAATGCGGCAGATGTAACTAGCTGCAAATCTAGCATCTACTCTTCTCTTCCTGCTTACTACTAGAACTCCAATTTTACTTAGGGTGGCAATGGGCCCACAGCTAACAAGATAATCTTTCCCAGTTTCCCTTACAGCTAGGGGGGTTTTCCCTTACACTAGGATGTGGTGGCTAGAATTCCAGCGGCCACGCTGTGATGATCAAGTACACACAGTCACCCTGATGATGAGGAAGCCAAGCACTAAGGATGGTGGAGAAAGAAAAAGGAGCCTGGATTCCTGATGATGGAGCCACCATAACAGCCCTGGACTGTTTATTTCGGGGCTTTCTTTTACTTCTATCTGTTGTCCTGTTATTTGCAGTCAGACTTAACCCTGTCTGACACAGGAAGACAAAGCAAGTAGGAGCTGAATTCACTGTCTGCCTTTCCAGCCAGCTCAGGGCACTAACACCCCCTGGTGGCAGCCTAAATTCTTCCCTTAGCCTAACTGCTGCATGTGCAGGGGTTCTACTTGTTATCCCCTGGTTTCCACCACACAGTCACCCCGCTGCCAGAAAGCTCAGCTTCAGGATCCCTCAGTGAGATCCCAACTTATTCTTCTAGCTCTTGGCAGGAGTATTTCACAGACAGAAAAGTTCAATTTCATGTACTAACCCAGACCATCATTCCTTACTCCCTATTTGGTGGGTGAGTCCAAGCCAGTGCCTCGCTCAGGTCCACTGATGTTCTGATGACAAACAGCTGAAGACTCCCTGGGGAAATTCTACCTTCTGGTCAAATCATGGCGAGGAGACGGCAACGATATGGAGCTGGTCATGAGAAGCCTGGCCCCTGGTTCACTGCTTAGAATTCCTGACTGACAAGAGTTCACTGCCTCCTCAGACTGATACAATAATCACTCCCACTTACATACCTTAGGACAACAATTCTTTCCTGGGCAGAAAAGGCCAAGCAAATAAGAGCCTGCAATTGAGACAGTATCCTTAAACCACATGTTCTCAAAGAGATGGTCAACCAAAGCAAACAAGAATGGCAGAGATGGAAGGGAGACGTATTTAAAATCTAAACAAACAAAGAACTTACTGAGGTATGTATCCAAAGGTATACAACTCTCCAGGTCATCTGTAGGTGACAGAAGCTCACAAATACTTTCAGCTGTGTGGTCTTCAGGGAATTTGTTCTGGTCCCCACATTTCTTAAGAATCTCCACACAATCTGATCTTGAAAAGAAAAATACAAATTCAGTGTTCGAGAAACCTCCTCATGTTGTCTAGTCAATATCCATTCTGTTTCTGAAGCTTTCCAGAAAGTGAGTTCTCAGAACTTAACAATGTTTCACAATTGGTTAGGCGCAAGGACGGCACAAGAGAACGAGTTATAGTGGACCTCAGGCTGAACAGTAAGTAACGTATTACGCTATCAAAACATCCCTAACCTTCTCTTACCTGAGATCCGAAGGCCTTGCTCAAATTTTATGCTCATACTTACTGATACTACCATCAAGGTGGCTTTTCACTGTCTTTGAAAGGAAATTAAACCAGGCTAGTCTGATTTACTCTTTGCAAAATCATACATCCTTTCAGGACCTTATGCATACTTGCTTCTCCTTCTTCCCTCCCTCCCTTCCTCACTCCCTTCCTTTCTCTTTTTAAGTATCTTTTTAGTTATCAGCACTAAAGTGTTTGGTCTACAACAATCGGAAAGTCCACTACTTTAAAATTTTGCCAGTCTTCAGTAGGGATTTGACTCCTCTTCTGTAAGTCTTCTGAGCTAAGAGTCTATAAATTTCCCACTCGTTGCCTCTTGCTTGTCACCCAGTAGTTACCCCTCATCTGTCCCCTACTCAGGTCATCTCCAAGTCATGTCAGAGAATAGATGGGGACCCTGTTTAAGGTGGAACTAATCTGCAATCAGTCATGGAGTGCCCAGCAGCACCGAGCCATACACCAACAACTTAAGGGCTAGATGTTGGCTTGGTTTTAGAAAAGCTTTGTGGGAAAAAAGATGCTTAAAGAGCAGTTGACGTAGATTACTATGGAGTCAACACTCTTGGTTTCACCACCATAGCAGCTTTCATCTTTCTTTTATCCTAGGTCTCCTGAGCAAACCACTCACAAAATGTGTGCTAGGAACAGGCCCTAAGGACTATAGTCACTACCTCCTTCACTCATCAAACATTTATAGAATCCCTCTTGTGTGTCACGATTACGCCAATCCCTGCAGAGGAGAAAAAGGAGGATACAAGGAAAAAAGGCACAAAGAAGAATGAGCTCCTCGAGGAGAGCAAAGTCTAACAGAATATAAGACAAATACACAAATTAAAATATAAAAATAGAATTACGCATTGAGGGTGCTCAATAAATGTTTCTTGGACTAAGTTCCATAAGAGAAGTATAAATAAAGGTCTATAGAAATTCATAGTATGGATAATTACTATCAGCTCGAGCAGTCTGGGAAGATTCCATAGGAATGACTGCTATCTGAGAGGGCTAAGAAGGACAGGCAGTGGGCAAGTGGAGGTGGGGGGAAGAGTATTTCAAGCAGAGGAGGAAAAAGTGGGAAAGCATTTGACATGTGGGGATGATGAGCAAAGGGAAGTGGTGGGAGGGAAAACTCTAAAGATAGGCTGTGAGTGGAGATCACAGAGGGTCTGACCCAAAACTGGAGAGTCACTGTCACGAAAGAAACTTACTTGCAAATAACACTTCCCCGGGATTTACTATGACAAGGTTTAATCTGCAGTGAACAAGCTATTGCTTTCCACATTTCTGGCTGGCACTTTTTAATGTCAAGAACAGGTATGTTGATAAATGGCATCTTTATGCTTCCTTTTTCCCACAGCTTCATGTCGTTCATGGCTCCTTGATCTGACTGAGCATTACAACTCCGGAAAAGTTCTGTTGGCCTAAAGAGAAAAGAGGCCAGAAGGAATCAAGAGGCAATTATTTTCTAGAGAGAAGCAATGCATAAAATCCTGACATACTAATGCATCAGGAAAATCTGATTTTCTTAAAGAAGAAAGTGCATACAACCCATCAAAGGATATCGGCTTTGAACGTATGAAGATTCAATGTAGATGCTACCAATAAGATTCTGATAGCATGTTTTCTCTTTTGGGGGGGGGGGTGAGGAATATTAGCCCTGAACTAACATCTGTTGCCAGTCCTCCTCTTTTTGCTGAGGAAGATTGGCCCTGGGCTAACATCCATGCCCATCATCCTCTACTTTATATGGGACGCCACCACAGCATGGCTTGATAAGTGGTATGTAGGTCAACGCCTGGGATCTGAACCTGTGAACCCCAGGCCGGGGAAGCAGAGCCCACGAACTCAACCATTACGCCACCAGGCTGGGCCCTCATGTTTTCTTTTTAACACAGATTTTTGTGAGGCAGTTAAAAACTTCAAAATGCTGTGGACAGGACTATCATCTCCACCCGTACCATTGTTTTCATTTCACAAAGTAAATAAGCCCAAGTTTTTAAAATTGAGGTACAATTTATAAAAATAAAATGCACAGATTTTTTGGGTACAGTTTGATGTGATTTGACAAATGTGTACATCTGTATAAGCACACCCAAATCAATTAAGGAGCATTTCCATCACCTCAGAAAGTTCTCTTGTGTCCCCATCCAGTCAATGCCCTCCCTGCTGACTGCACCCCAGAGGCCACCACCATTCGTACTCATATTACCCTAGATTAATCTTACCTGTTCTAGAACTTCATATAAATGGAATCCTATTGTATGTACCCTTGGGGTCTGGTGTCTTCAGCTAAACAATCTTTTTGAGATTCACCCATGTTATGTATATAAATTGTTTGTTCATTTTTATTGTAGAGTAGTATTCCATTAATAAAAGCACCACAATTTGTTTATCCTAGCAGTTCTCAACCTTATTGATCTCAGGACCCATTTACACTCTTAAAATTATTGGGTTCTCAAAAAACTTCTGTTTATGTGGGTTAAATCCATCAATATCTATCATATATAACTCAAAACTGAGAGATTTTTAAAGTAGTTAAATCATTTAACTATTGATAATCATAATTCATTTAAAATAATATGCCCATTACATGTTATATAAATAATATTTTTATGAAAAATAACTATATTTTCCAAAACAAAACAAAAATCAGTGAGAAGGGTAGGACTGTTTTATAGTTTTGAAAATCTCTTTCACATCTGTCTTCATAGAAGACAGCTTGATTTTCATACCTGCTCCTGCTGCATTCAGTCTGTTGCTATATCACATCTGGAAAACTCCACTGTTCACTCTTGTGAGAATGAGAGTGAAAAAGGCAAATAACATTTTAGTGTTATTATAAAAATAATTTTGATCTCACGGGGTTTTGGGGACCATGGACCACACTTTGAGAAGGCCGGTTTATTCACTCACCTGTTTGTAGACATTAAGGTTGTTTCCAGTTTTCATGTCTCTTTTCATGGCTACAAATGGGCATTGCTGGGTCATAACTTTCTAAGAAACTGCCAAACTGTTCTCCAAAGTGGTTATACCATTTTAGGCTCTCACCAGCAATGTATGAAAGTTCCGGTTGCTTTACGTGCTGGTCAGTCTTTTAGTTGTAGCCATTCTATTAGTGTGGGTGGTATCCTTTTGGTTTTAATTTGCATTTTGCTAATAACTACTTATGTTGAGCACTTTTCCATGCACTTAACTGGCCATTCGAATATCTTCTTTTATGAAGTGTCTTTCCAGTGTTTTGACTTTTTTTAAAAAGTTGTCTTTTTGCTATTGAGTTGTAAGAACTCTTTATATATTCTGAATATGTCTTTATATGTATTACAAATATTTTCTGCCAGTTTGTGGTTTGCCTTTTCGTTTTTTTTAATAGCCTCTTTTGATGAACAAAATTTTTTAATTTGTAAAATTTATTTATTTGAAGTATTTTATTGGGGTATAATTTACATACAATATAACCCACAGATCTTGACAGTTCAGTTCAGCAAGTCTTGAAAATTGTATTCATCCATGTAATCAAAACTCCAGACAAGACAAAGAATATTTCTATCACCTCATAAAGTTTCCTTATGCCCTCCTATCCCCTTCTACCAAAGGCAATGACTTTCTGATCTTTACCCTCAAAGGTTACTTTTGCCTATTCTTGGACCTTATATATATGGAATTATAAAGAATGTATTTTGTGTCAGGCTTCTTTCACTCAACATAAGAGTCATTCATGTTTTTGGCTTTAACAGCAGTTTGACTTTTTTTTCTTGGTGTGCACTATTCCATTGTTTGGGCACACCACAATATGTTCTTCCATTCCCTTCTTGGTGGATGTTTTATTTCTTTTTCTCCCAACTTTGCATTCTTATGAATAAGGCTTTTTTGGACCTATGTCCATATGAATAAGTCTTTTTTTGGGCATATGTTTCTTGGGTAAATGCTTCGGAATAGAATTGCTGAGTCATAGATTTAACTTTTTAAGAGACTGCAAGAAAACTCTCCACAGTGCTTCAACCCTCTTATACTCCCAGCAGCAAAGTATGAGAGTTCTACTTGCTTCATATGCTTGTCAGTCTTTTAATTTTAGCCATTCTAGTGGGTATGACCAGGTATCTCATTGAGGTTTTATTATTTGCATTCTGCATGGCTAATGAAAATGAACTTTTTCATATATTTAAATGGCTATTTTTGAGGTCTTCTTTGGTGAAGGGTCCTTGAAAGTCTTTTGCCCACTTTTTCACTTGGGTTCTTTGATTTTTTTTTTTTTTAAGTATTTATTGATTTTTTTTTTTTTTTTTTGCAGGGAAAGATTTGCCCTGAGCTAACTAACACCTGTTGCCAATCTTTGTTCGACTTTTTATCATGAGTGTTGTAGGAATTATTTATATATTCTAGATACAAGTCCTTTGTCAAATGTGCGTGTGTGTGCACATGTGATACACTGAACATTTTCTCTCTGATTGTGGCTTGCCTTTTCAAATTTTAAAGTGTCTTTTGGTGAACAAAAGTATTTACTGTTGAACTATAATTCATTAATTTTTTTCTTTATTAATTAGTGCATTTTGTGTCCTCTCCACAAAGTCTTCCCTACACCAAGGTTGTCAAGATACTCCTATGTTTTCTTCCAGAAGCTTTATATTGTAGCTTTTATCTTTAGTTCTATGACCCATCTTGAACGAATTTTTGTGTATGGTGTGAGATAGAGGTTGAGGTTCTTTTTCTTCACACAGATATTCAGTCATTGCAGCATCATTTGTTGAACAGATGTTTCTTTTTGCATTGAACTGCCTTGCTACCTTTGTTGAAAATCATTCTTGCCTCTATTTTGTCCTATTAATCTATTTCTCTGAACTTATGCTAATATTACATTGTTTTAATTTCTGTTGCTTTATAATAAGTCTTGAAATCAGGTACTGTAAGTTCTCTAAATTTGTTCTTTTTTAAAAATTGTTTTAGCTATTCTAGGTCCTTTGTATTTTCATAGAAATTTTGGAATTAACCTGGCTATGTCTATTTTAAAAAGCCTGTTGGGATACTGATTGGGACTGCACTGAATCTGGAGATCACTTTTGGCAGAATTAACGTCTCACTGAATCTGGAGATCAGTTTTGGGAGAATTAACAACAATATTGAGTCTTCTAATCCATGAACATGGTACCTCTCTCCATTTATTTGTTGTCTTTAATTTCTCTCTGCAAAGTTTTCTGGTTTTTAGTGTAGAGTTCTTGCACATCTTTTGTTAAATTTACCCCTAAGTATTTCATGTTTTTTGATGCAATGGTGTAAATTACTTTTTATAAATTTCATCTTCCAATTTTGTTGCTAATATACAGAAATACTACTGTCTTTTGTATATTAACCTTGTATCTTGTGACTTTGTTAAACTCAACGATTTAAGGGGAGTTTGTATGCAGATTTTGGAGCATCTCCTTTTGTGGTTCCCTCCTTTCTGGGATTTGCTGCTTCCATATCCAGCCACTTTGGCAGCCCCAACTCTGATCTCTAACTCCTCGGCCCAAGACTGCTGCTTTTTGCTTGAATTCTATAAGCCAAGCAAGGGGACCGAGAGTGCCCAGGAAGGAAATACTGAATAAACGTGGCTGTCACTCAGTGTAGTTTCATGAGATGTAGCTTTTGGTCACTTTCCAATGCCTTCAAAACAATCTTTTTAAATATTTTGTGCCGAGTTCATAATTGGTATTGGCAGGGGTGTTGGTCTGACACAAACTACTCCACCATGCCAGTAAGGCTAACACTCTATCATCACTTGTAAAGATATCTCAACTTTTACTCAAAATAATAATCTGAATACTTTTAAGAGGATAGGACGTGTGTTAGCTTGAGGTAAACATCCTCTGAACTTCCTTCTGGCCCAAATGAATGATTCTCTTCCTTTTTGCCCTCTTGATCTCCAGGCTGCAGCTCACAAAACCAGCCTCCTCTTCTTCAGTAATTCTCCTTCTCTGGCTTCTCTGATATGGCATTTTCTATGCTTCTGGATGCCCTTTTTCTTTTATTTACTGCTTCTTTAGCCATTAATTCAGGTCTTGGCCCTTATTTTTCTTACCCTACTGAAGACCTTAGGAACATACCTATTCAAATTGCTTCTGTAAAGAAAATATTTTTGTATGAAATAGGGGACTCACTGAGTGGGAACCTCAACTAGTCTGTAGGTCTTTCACAGTAAACTGTCCACAAGAGGGCACCTGGATGACCAAATTGTTCAGTGATTTATTCTACAATGAATTGTTTCCACTGGTGGTGTAGTAGAAGGGAGACAGGAAGAATGGTAGACTAAAGGCAGAAGAGATTCTTCGAATTCTAGAAGCTTGAAGTATTTCTAGATTAGAAAGGATTTGGTTATAGTGCTTCCTTTCCCAGGGGTGATTTACCAGATGGAATATACCATTTAAAGATGAAATCATAAAGAAATAAATACTACTTCCTTTTAACTTGGCAGGAAGAAAATCAGAGTAAAGTGGTCTTTTCACTTATTTAAAAACAAGATAATTAATGATAAAAAATATTTCCATTCCATGTACAATAATTTGCTCCTACCTGTTGTTAAAATTAGTACAGTAAGTAAGGTTTCTACAGCCCAACTGACAAGGTTCCCGAACATCTGCTAAACAGGTCAACATGGACACTTCCACTGGATTATATTCACAAAAGCGATCAAACTCTTGCCAACTCTGTGTATTGCCCCAGCTCATGCTATAAAGTTTAGTGCACAGTTCCCTGAAACAAAAGCACAAATGCAGAAACATATAAACAAAAGCACAAATGCAGAAACATACGGATGAGCCAAATGAATAAATATTTGACTCGCATAAAACGCAAACTCTATGAACTCTAGTTTAGAATATAAATGAGAAAAAAAGTACAAAAACCAAAAGACTAAGATCTATCTCCTAGAATTTAGGGCCAGAAAAAGTGATTTTTCCATGAAAAAGTTAGCCTTCCCTTATCATCCATCTCTTTCCCTTTTGCCATGGTTGCTAGAAAGCTCAGTGCTAAATTTAATGTTTAATTATAGTATTTGTACATCCTTATTCTAAGCACAATTATTTCCCTCTATATATTTCATCTCTCTTCTACCTTTACTTAAAGTAAGGTAAAGCATACAGTTTTGCCTCCACAAAGATATATTCCACTATATTTATGTTCTAATCACAGTAGGCAAAACTATGACATGGTCCTCAGACTTCTTTTAAGAAGCATTATAGACTTAGGGTTCACTAGTTTCTCCCTGAAAAACTATCCTAAAGCCACTCATATTCCTTAAGATATACAAAGATAGCCTACATAAAAAGGCTTATGAATTCCAAAGCTTCTATATACTATTGTTGTATGTATGTATGCTTATTTTCAGTACTTGATGATTACAAAGCAACTCAAGAGCATGTATATAGCTAAAACGGTAAAAGCACCATTTCTAAAGTGCTTTCACACATCATATTCATCAGGTTCATTTTTTAAATTTATAAATGCCATAAAAATGTAAAAAAAAAGTAATACAAAATTTTAATACTACCAAAATATACAAAGTCACGAGTAAAAATTCTCCATGCCTGTCACATTTTATTTGACTCCCCCAAGTATCCCTATGAGGAGAGTATCTTTACTTCTGTTTGTTCATTCACTCTACCAGGGTTTACTGAGTGCCTATTTTGCATGGGGCCCTCTTGGAGGCACTGGACATGCAGTGGTGAATGAAAGAAACAATATTCCTGGCTCTCAATGGAGCTCACACATCATGGGGACGAGGAAGCTGAGATCAAGTTACATTAGATACCTTGATCTGGAAACCAGTCCTTTCTCTAGGCCTTAACTTTCTGTATGACCTTGGAAAGACTGTTTAACATCTCAGAGTTAGTTTTTTATATATAAACAGAAATTATACAAATTGAGACTAATCATAAGATGATACCAATCATTTTATAAGGTTTCACGAGGACAAAATAAGATGGAAGTGAAAGTATTCAGTAAACCATAAAACCTTACATCAAGAGGGCAAACAGTGTTTCTTACTGAAGTTCTTCTGGGATGACACAGCCATTCCAATCTCTAGGGACTACAGGGCACACAGTTTTTTGTGGACATTCAAAGAATTACTCAGTTTCCTTTCCATAAATACATTTATTAATTACTATCAGCAACCCAATTTCCTTAATTATAGGACCAACTTAACTTCTCTTTAAGCCTTTCTGTTAATTTTCTTTGGATATTTTCCAGATTTTTCATATTTTTGGTAAAGTTTGATGAGCTATTCTAGGCACAATTTTTTGGTAAAGGTCCATCCAATTTAGAAGCCACAGGAAAGACTGTTTCACTCCTGGTATATCATATTCATTTCAGGATATTCTAGTAATATGCAGTCCCTTTTCACTCAAAATATCCCTAATAAAGCAAACTTCTCTTTCACCTGTGTTCTAGTATGACCTTCTCTCCATTTATTCTTGTCTCTAGATTGTGTTTCCTCCATCCTATATTTGTATTGTTAATTTTTTATCCCTAAGTGTATCACCCAAATGAATGCCAATACACTGCTATCTAACTTTGGGTCTAAGTGTCAACCCAGGTTACTCACCAATCTATACAAAAGGTTGCTTAAGGTCAAAGTTTCATAATTTAACAAAGAAAATATCCCTTAAATGTCAGATAAAAATATCTTCTAAATTGTAAGCTTACTTAATGATAACCTTGAGGATAGAACCCATATCGCATCATCTTTAAATATTTATTGCCCTGCCAATGCTAATCCTCCATACTCCAAAACACAGTGCTTTTAGCACTCAATGTACAAAAACAATGATTTACGGACACATGAAGCTCAGTAAATACTTGCTGGATGAAAGAATGAAAGATTTTATATCTTCTAAACTCTTAAGTGTATACAGTGCAAGAAAATAACACATATTTGCCAGACTTAAAATCATCAATTAAAATGCTATTTTCTACTGGTTTTAATCAAGGAAATTGAGATACTGACCTACATGTTGAAGTATTTGCTTTAGAACAACAATGCAATTTAGCCCCATCGAGGCCTGTAGAGGGAGGAGGGTGTAGAGTGACTCCAGGGTGAACAGATTGTGAGCTTTCGAGAAAACACTGCCAAAGAGGATCCTGAGGCAAGGGCTGGGTCTTACAACCCTCGATGAGGCCATCCACAATCTCCATTTCTGTTTTCTTAGACATCAGAATTCTCTTGCAGGCATTTTGGCAAGCATGGTCTTCAGCTCTGTCACAGCAATATAAACCTACGTTTCAGAACATAAGTGGCTTAATTAGCTGGTTTTACGTCATGCCCTGCTCAGAACAGAACACGGTGGTGTACTGGAAACCATTACTACTCTGAGTCAAATGTCAGTATCTGCAGGATACAGGGCCTACCAAATTCTCTCTCCATTACTTTGCAGTGTAGCAAATTAGCAAGGAGCTAAAGGTGGACTAGGTATCTGTTACCAGAATTCACCACTGTCCCCAGTCATGAGACCTCTAGCACCATTCCTACATAAGTGAAAGGTCATCCTACACCTAACAAGCCCTCACATGCAAGGTATTTTATGTTCCTGGAAAAGGTATTGTAGATCAAACTGGAACTATTTCATGCTAGAAACGACTGCCTAAAAGGGATTTTGTTCTTGACATAATGAGAGAGATGACATTTTAATAGCAATAACCACAAACACCATATTTCATCACATCATGGGATATAAAGCTTTTAGAAATCTGTGCATATTAATTAATTTAAGTTGTAATTGAAATAATACAACAGCAAACTCTGACAAAATATCAGTTTGCTTCAGCCTTTAATTTTCTACAAAGAATCAGAAAGTAAAAGAACACTTTCAACCAGACTACAGAATTCAGAAGGGTTTCTTTGAGGTACTATTCTCAGGCGTCTTGACTTTTTAAGAAACCTATTCAGACATATCTGTTTGTAGCTTTCTTTTCCAGATTTCCTCTGTATTAGCACAGACATCTGAGATGGTTGTTCTTCTACCCTTAAAACATCGTTCTGCTGTTTTGGGAGCCGCTATCACCTAGGCTCCAGCAGCAGCTCTGGGCAGCCTAATGTCAGTGAAGACAGATCTGCCTTTACAATGAATGAAGGCTGTTTGCGGCAAATGCTCTGTCCTCTGATCTTCATCACACAGCCACACCACAGAAGGTCGTAAGTCTGAGAGTTCTGCTTTACATGCCGGCCAAACAAGGCACACAGCACTGCTTTTGAGTTTACAAAAACAGTATTCACAGCCCAGCATAAATCAAAACATTGGCATCTGGCTTATAAATCTTATAAGTCTTTTGTCAGTTTGGTTAATTAGTGAGTTTTTAAAAGTTTAATCATCTCTAAATGAAGAACATCAATTATAAGACGTACAAAGCTGCAACACTGAAGACTCCATAAGGTGCAGCTTCATTAGGAGGCCTTGATTAAAAAAAGTTATCAGGATCTCTTCTGTTTTTATGATATTTTTTTTTTTTTTGCAGGGAGAGAGTCACGCTGAGCTAACACCTGTTGCCAATCTTCCTTTTTTTTTTTCCTCCCCAGAGCCCCAGTACATGGTGGTATATCCTAGTTGTAAGTCATTCTAGTTCTTCTATGTGAGCCACCACCACAGCATGGCAACTGACAGATAGGTGGTGTGGTTCCATGACCAGGAAGCAAACTCAGGCCGCCAAAGTGGTGAATGTCAAACATTAACCACTAGGTCATCAGGGCTAGCTCGATGATGTTTTTACTGTAAAGTAATAACTGTTCATTGGTAAAAACTGAAACATTACAGATACATAAAATGTGGAACAAATAGGTATAGAACTAAAAATAAATATGTCATACTATACATTTAGTTCTGCAACTTGCTTTATTTGCTTAGTGTATCTTGGAATTCAATGTAAACACACTTGTTTATGTTGGTTGTATAGTGTTGTTATTATATACATATATGATTTATTGAATCAATTTTAATCAATACTCCACTGATGGATCTTTGGGTTATCTCTAATTTTTGTCTATTACCGCCAATGTTGTAGGGAACATCCTTTATATTCATAGATACATTTTCGCAAATTCGTGAGTTTTCTTGAAGGACAAATTCTGAGAAATGGAATTGCTAGATTAAAAGATATGATTAATTTGAAATTCTCACAGTCAAAATTCAACTTCCCCCCAAAATATCCATACCACTGAATTTTCCCAGTGCCTGTTTCTTCATACCTTTGACAGTTCCGTCTTTCTTGGCATCTTTTAGCTGTGACAGTAAAGTCCAAACAGCTAAATCTAAACACCAAAGGAAGTCTGGTGTTTCCCAAATGATCTGGACTACAGATATCTTCAAGAATTTACTTCCTTTTTACAAATTATTTTACCAAAGACCAAAATGAGAGGAAAGTGTAACTTTTTACTTACTATCTGTTGGGTTCCTCATTGGATAAGATTGGGTGTAATTGTTCACACAGTGTATTAATTGTGGACTAATAGAGGCACAATAGTTTTCCACTGCTTTGATCTGAGATGGGCCAGGGGAAGAGTCTGTTCGAAAAATGGCTTGACAGTATTCTCGGCAGTTTGTGTGATGGCCTGCATAACTGCAACAAACTGATCCCACTGGAGGAAGAAAAGGAGATGACATTGAAATGGAACCAGCTATTTGCTAACATTAAATCATCCCCATAATGCTGGAACAATGTGTGTCTTTTTGAATTTGAGAAATAAAACCATACCATAGAAGACAAGTACTGTCTTAAAATCACTCTTAAAACTTAAGATTTTTTACCATCTTAAAACTTAAAATCAACACTACTGGAGGCACAGCCATGGCGACATTCAGGTGCTCACTGGTATAAGAAAGTCACTATCCATCAACTTACAGTCTATAGTCCAGTGGGTCTCAGCAGGAGCAGTACCACCTCCCTGGGAGAATTTGAATGCATGTGGAAGTGTCTCTGGTGTTCATGGTGACTTGGGGGGCCACTGTTGGCTTTTAATGCGTGGGGGTGATGGCTACTGAATGCTCTGCAAAGCGCAGGACAGTCTCACACTACCAAAACTGTCTCCCCAAATGCCAATAGTGCCCATGTTGAGAACCACTAGAACAGCTTCTTTCCATGTTAGATTTGTGGAGATTTACAAACAAACAAAGCAAAGCAAAACAAACAAAACCAAAATAAAACAAAACCCAAAATGCCTCACATTTATACAAACTAAGAGATATCATGATCATCTCATGAATTTGACAATTATACAACCGTATATCTTGAAACAAAACCCCAAAAGTGCTATACTGTTTAAACATCTCCAAGAATACACCTAAACTGAAACAGTCTTCACCTCACAACTGATATGACCTGCTTGACCTGAAGAGTAAAACCCACATTTGAAATAAATATGATTCTGGACTTACATATTTTTATAAATCAAAGGGGACCGTTTAAGGTATCTGGGCAGAGCTAGATAAGTGGCTAGGGGTGCAGATGGGGGATTTATAATGGAGAAGAGCAAGAGACTCCCACAGGAGAGGCTAAGGGGTCTGCAGGAGGCTGAAGGGAGCCAAGGCAGAGGTATGGCAGGAAAAGGTTAAGAGAAAGGCAGGTAGGAAATCTCTGAAAATTATTAGAGATGGTTGTGGAGGAACCAGAATCAGGTTTCTGGTGAATTCCACAGACCAGGAATGAGCAGGGAATGCAGGCAACTTCCAGAAATAATGATAATGATAAAATCATATACAAATTAACGAAACTAGGACTGAACTGATGTAGGACAAGCCTCAGTTTCCCGGACCAGGAAACTGTTTCATACCTACTGCACCACCTAAGTTTTTGACTTGTAATTACTACCAAACTTACTGTGAGCATTGCTGAATTCTTCATTTTCAGCACAAAGAACAATTAATGGTTACATTTATCACTGTCAACCTCACTGAGGATAAACTGGGGGTTGGGGAGGGGATGCTGAGGACAGAAGAGATACAAGTGAGAACAGGAAGGATGCCTATCTTCTGATTCCCCCATTATGCTGGCTTCTTCACCAGTGTCGGGGGACATAAGATTACATGCCGGAGACTATCTGGGAAATCCTGAACTAAGCCCCAGTTAGAAAGGGTAGAAGACAAAGTACAGACAGCCAATATTTCTCATCACTTTGATACACCCCACTGCCAAGCTAATCTAAACAACTCCTTGTTCCTTGTTCCTCAGATGTGTTTCCCCATCGCTAACCATTCTCATTATTCCCTTCACCTGGAACGTCCTTCCTCCAGTCTCCGCTGTTCATATCTTGTCCATCCTTCCAGGCCCAGCTCAGCTACCAAGTCACCTTTAGCACCCCTGCAGGGTGTGATCCCTACTTCCTCTGAACTTCCACAGCCCTTTATCAGTCACGCTATCCCACATCCACCGTGTCCCAGCGTTCTTTGTGCACAGGTTGTGTCCCCCACAGATGTGCGTCTGCCCCACACAGAGCACGTAGTCAATGAACGTCTGCTGAATGAACTGAGAGGTAGCCCTCACCAAGTGCTACACTGTGTCACGTGGGAGCGAGTACCTTCTGAAAGTGATCCTATTTATTCAAGTGGGGCATGCTCTCCTCTAGCACATCTAGCACTAGTAGCTGCTTTGTAAATCTGCAGTTAGGACAGGGGAATTGCTATAATTCAAGAATGGCCTGAACACTCCAGAGGAAAGAGCCTATCAGAATCCTGCTGTGTACATTACTTCCGATGGCTTACTGACAGCCTAAGTTATAACACCAGGGTCTTGGCAATATGTATAACAGCTAAATCACATTCTTTAAACTGTGTTTTGCTCTTTGGACTGCTAATATAATCATCAACAATATACTTACTTTCATTTCTGCTAATGCAACTGAAAAGAGCATTCTGTAAATTAAAGAAAAACAAACAAACAGACATTAACAACACATGGAATTTCTAATTTTATTCCACTTTATTGTTATATGGAAATCAAGATGTCAAACTATTTAATTCTTCTCTAAATCCAAGACTGAAAACAGACGTTATGAGATGGCATCCTGGTGAAAAGGGAAATCATCTTCCAACACACAGTGGGGATCAAGATTATCTCTCGAGCCATAAGCTGACTACATTAGAGCAATCAAGTTTATGTAAACCTGTACCAATGTGTATATCTGGGGGAATTTACAATGTATTAACCTCAATGATTCCTTGTAGTATATAATAAAGGACATTTAGGGAAATATATATTTCACATAACCACTGCATTTTAGAGCTGAAAGGACCTTAGAGATCATCTCTAACTGTTCTCAAACATGGCCATGCACTACAATCAGTTGGGCTTCCTAGGCCTTACCCTAGACTACACAATCAGAACCTGGGAGGGAAGCACAGAAATCTAAATTTTAAACAAGGCTTCAAAGATACTTCTTACGTAGCCACCCTGGGGCCAGAGATGGGGAATCTCACTTCCATTTTACAGACGAAGAAACCATTTCCTCAGCAGGGGAGAGACTGACCCAGGTCACAGAGCAAGTCAAAAGCAGAGACTGAGACTAGAATTAGTGTTTCTAGAGCTCTTAGATCACTTAGATCAGATGTTTAGAAAACATCACACTAATTTAAGTCACTGTAGGAAAATAAGACGCAAACCAAGACAAAAAAAATTCCTTGTACAAAGCCATTTGGACATTCAGGGCATGTCGACTATGATTAATATTACTCACAAGTGGAAGAGAATGAATTCTTCAAAGAAATATTATGGGCATAAATAAAAGGTAGATGGAAATCAAGCGCAACCTTATTGTTGAATACAGATGATTGTGGCTTTTAATTGTAGCTAACCCACAAGCCAGCTATGTGATCTGGATTTGTTAAAGGACCAGCTTCACTGACATTTAAAACCTACCTTCAAGTATCCCTCTATGTAGTTGTATGAAGCTGTACTGCATTCATTTTCTCCACTAAATAATATTTCATTGTAGGAATAAACCACACTTGATTTATCCATTTAAAGCAAAACAAAACAAAAACCCCAGGCTTCATAGATAAGGTGTTCACCCAGTATGAATTCTTTCTGCTAGAGATCTCATCAAACAATATAAATGTATTCACCCAGTATGAATTCTTTCTGCTAGAGATCTCACCAAACAATATAAAACTAGTGAAAATTAAATATTCTTGGTGTTTCTCTAATAGTGATCTCTCTTCATCCATGTTTGTTTGTGACTTTTCAGCTACTGGTTATAGATAGTCCTCTATTTTGATTCAATAGTTTCAGGAACAGTTTCCATAAAATGATCTAAATCAACATTAAAAAGCAATCTGCTACCAACTTTCCAGCCTCCTTCGATTGGGTGAATACAATTCTCATTGCCCTTCTCTTTCTTTTTTTTTTTTTTTTTTTTTTT